CGTTTTTGTTTTTGTTTTTTAAACAGTCTAAAACTCATTTTGGATTGAGCCTTATGGGCCAGACCTGTATCCAACTCCACAGGCTGGTCCATAGGAAGAGCCAGTGTTCCAGGCTGGACCGGGCTGCATAGGGAAAGGCTATGAGCAAGTGAAACTAAAGGAACTCTTTTGGGCAGGAATGCCTTTAGGACCAGATCGATGCCTGGAGTCTCTTCCCACTCTGGCACTTTATAAAGGATGAGGAGGAGAGCATCAGAATTATTGTGTATTGTAAGTGTAATTCTAGTACTTGGCAGACTGAGGCAGTGAGATACTTGAAGGAAGAGAAGAAAAAAACGAGTGTGTGTGTGTGTGTGTGTGTGTGTGTGTGTGTGTAGTTCAGTTGGTAGAGTGGTTGGTTGCCCTGCATGCACAGAGACCTGGATTTGATCTCCCCAGCAACACACAAAATTCAGCCTCCTGTCGCATGTCTGAACTTGAAGTACTCTGGGGTATAAGTAGGAGAAATGCCAAGGTCATTTTTAGCTACATAATGAGTTCGAGGTCCACCTGGCGTTCACAAGCAAACAAAAAAGAGGAGGAGGCAGGGCTGTAGATCAGTGGTAGAGTGCTCCAGCAAGGAAAAGATCCCGGGTTCAACAGTCAGTCAACAAAGCAAAAAGTGTATGTTCGGCAGACTCCGTCAGCTGCTCAGGTTTTCTTCAGTGTGACAAGGGTCGTCGAGGAAGAGGAAACTTCAATTGAGAAAAATGCCTCCATCAGACTGTCCTGTAGGCAAGTCTACAGGACATTTTCTTGGTTAATGATTGATGTGGGAGGGCCCAACCCACTGGAGATGCTGCCACCCCTAGGCAGGTGGTTCAGGGTGGTACAAGAAACACATCCACCTATCCTTGCCATAGCTGGCCCCTGACATGTCCTCCTAGAAGCCCTATTCAATCCTCCCCGCTGTCTAGGATTCTAATATGGAAGGAGAGAGTGTGGTTAGTCGAAAAATGTACAAGGCTTACCCTGAGGATCCTTTTTGACCATCCATTGAAGCCAAAGTAGTTCTTGGCATCGTGAGCTGTTTAGGGCAAAGGCCTGATGTCGTAGGGCCTTGTGTCTAGTGCCGAGACGAACCTGCAGTCAGGAGAGACCCACAAATGTCACAGCCGGCCAGGTTCTACTCTGGAGACGCGAGGTCAATCAATTCCAAGTCCGTAAGGGACAGTGAAGATCAGGGGTCAGAAGGAGGTCCCAAGTCCCGCATCAGAGTGAGCCCCACACACAATGCTGTCCATCTAAGCCTCAGTGCTGTCCGCCATCATTGTTAGGATCCCTGGTTAAGTGGCAGGTTGCCCTGGGGGCCAGAGATGGAGCTCGGTTGGTGGAGTGTCAGCCTAGCATGCAGGAAGCCCAGGGTTCAAGCCTGAGCAGCATCACAAAAACCAGGTGTGATAGCATTCCAAAGAGAGAGAGGGCTGGGTGGTGGTGGCGCATGCTTTTAGTCCCAGCACTCGAGAGGCAGAGCCAGACGGATCTCTGTGAGTTCGAAGCCAGCCTGGTCTACAGAGCGAGTTCCAGGAAAGACACTAAAACTACACAGAGAAACCCTGTCTCGGAAAAAAAAAAAAAAAAAAAGAGAGAGAGAGAGGGAGAGGAAGGAAAGAAAGCAGCAAAAAACTGTGGAAACGGGTTGAGTGAGCAAATAAAAGAGATTGTCTCCCCATCTAGTGGCTCCTGTTTGAGAATCTGACACAGCAGGGGAGGTGAACCATCCACCCACCCCCCTCCAAGTTAAGAACCCCTGTTACAAAGTAACATAGAGGCTGGTGGCCAGTTAACAAGCTTTTTCCGCACTTCAAATACCAAGTCTTGAGTTTACATACTTTACACATTACTGTGGATTCCTTATGGAAAGGGGCCTTAGAGTTGGCACAGAACACGCTTGGACACCGATTCTTAACATACAGGAGATTTATGCCCCGCGAGGGGCAAGCTGGGATGGTGCAGGAGGGGTGTGGAGGCTGCAGCGCCAGCAGCAGCGAGCGAGCAAGGTGTCTTTTGTTGTTTTGCTTGTTTTGTTGGTTTTGAGGAGTTGGTTTTTAAGGAGAGAAGAGGGAGGTCTGTGCTAGGGGAATCGTTAAGTCCTAGGCTAAGTCCTGGTTCTACAGCCCTCTATTAGCCAGTGTAGCCAAATAATGAACGTTGACTGCTGGACCTTGGTGATCAGTGTCAGGAATGAGTCAGTGGCCAAGTGAGGGAATGGACCTGGGGGGGGGGGGCTATCCTTAGGAATGTGATGTCACGGTTTAGCAAGGGGGAAGGAAGGAGCGCGACTTGCTGGCGCCATGTTTACAACGTTCGGGCCTCTTAGCGAGCCCTTCACCTTAATTACTCATTCCTTCCCAGAAGTCTCCCCTCATCATTAGAAAGTGGTGTTTGTTGGGGATCTCCAGCTCAGGGGCCCATTACACACACACACACACACACACACACACACACACACACACACACACACACACACACACACACGGCTCCTCCCCAGAGCAGCCCTCTCCAGACCCTGCCCAAAGAAAGCCTGACAAACAGCAGCTCCTCCCCCGGAGGGTATTTAAGGGCCCCCCTCAGGAGCAGCCTTGTGGGTTCCCCTCTTTCCCCGAGCCCACCCCGGAATGCTTTGCTGGGATTAAAACCCGGAATTTAATTTGGCCTGATCTGATTTACTGCTTCGACAGAGAAACCCAGTATTGGCATACGGAAACCTTTCATTGTTATTCATAAAACTTGAATAATACAAATAAACTCAACATATTGTTAGTTACTTATGCATCTGTTTATATGTTCTCCTAAGTATCCAAGTGGCCAACACCTTCATTTTCTGATTCCAAGAACCAAGTGTAGTTCATAGCATCTAATAGAGGATCGAGGGAGGAAGTAAATAAAACTTGCAAGGCTCAGGAAGTTTCTGAAACCTAGCCGCCCCACCTATCCCACGTAAATAAGCAGTAACAATTGTGGCCAGAGAAGACTCTTCAGGTAGCCCAGAAGATACTCAATGGGTAATGTGTTGGGTTTTTTTGTTTGTTTATGTGGGTTGGTTTGGTTTTTTTCAAGACAGGGTTTTTCCATGTAGCCCTCTGTAGACCAGGCTTATAGCCATCTCTTTTACTGTTCATTATATTATAAAATCAGGGACAAATATTAAAGATTAAAAACCTGAGATAAAGCTGGGTGGTGGTGGCACAGGCCTTTAATCCAGCACTCGGGAGGCAGAGGCAGGAGGATCTCTGAGTTTGAGGTCAGCCTGGTCTACAGAGCGAGATCCAGGACAGTCCCCAAAGCTACACAGAGAAAATATATCAAAATATATCAAAAATATCAAAAATAACAACAAAACCCCAAGCCCCTGAGATAATCGCAAGCGACCTCGACACACACAGCCACCAGGCACGTCCTGGCAAAAAGCCAGGGCAACCCCTTGGCCCCGCCTCATCCTCTTCCAGGCGCCTCTTTCTCACATCCCCAGTCAGCCAGGGAACTCCATGATCCATTCCGGCCTGCTGAATGTGAACCCCGCCTCTCGTGCCAAACACTCTATTCCATTGGACATCGGACCACAACATAGACAAAATTCCTGTAACATAGGTTGGCCTTGAACTCACAGAGATCCGCCTGCCTCTGCCTCCTGAGTTCGCGTGCCACCACCGCTGGCTTATGTTTTTGTGCTTGAGAGAACTGCAAAGCAAAGTTGAACCTCCAAATATTAAGGTCTGTTATTATCATGTCTTGGTCTGATACATTTATTTACTTATTTATATATTTATTTTTGATGTTTCAAGACAGGGTTTTTCTGTGTAGCCCTTGTTGTCCTGGAACTCACAAAACAAAAAAATTATTAATGGTCAGACTGGTAAATCTCTGAATGACCCCAGACCCATAACAGATACCAGCTTTCATGAGTCTTTTAGCAGGGTGGGCTGCTAAAGCAGCTGCCTGTGACTTTTCTGTGTTCCCACAAGTCACCCATTTCCTTGGATCTATAAGTAACCACACATACACAGTTCTCCAGCAGAGTGGTGGAATCTTTTCTCTTGTCAGCTAGCAATGCCTTTTCAGGGTGTGACCCTCTCCCTAGAAAATGTCACACACCACTCTACACTGTGGTTCATCTCTGGCTCGAGCTCTCTCTTTAAAAGATTGATTGATTATGTATACAGTGTTCTGCCTGCGCACTAGAAGAGGGCGCCAGATCTCATCACAGATGGTTGCGAGCCACCATGTGGTTGCTGGGTATTGAACTCAGGACCTCTGGAGAGCAGCCAGTGAGTGCTCCTAACCTCTGAGCCATCACTCCAGCCCTATCTCCGGCTTCTTAGCCCCCTTCTCCCTGCAGCCCACTGTGCTGATTTTTGGTGCCGCTCCTTGAGTATGTCAACTGCGGGTTCCTGCTTTTTCAGGCTCCTTCTCGGATTCGACAAGGAAACAGTATTTCGAAGCTGCATGTAATGGCTTTCACCTGTAATCATAGCACTGAGACGGCTGAGACAGGAAGGTTGCAATAAGTTCCAGTCTAGCCTGGGCTGCAGTATGAGACACAGTTTCAAAACAACAAAAAAGAAATGTGTAATAACAAACAGATAAATTGGAATTCTAAGGGTCTCTTTCCCTAAGGGTCCGTGCACCCCTTGACCTGGTCAGAGTTTGCATAACTAGGGGACCGTCTTGTGACCACTGGCCCTCCCCAACTGATTGTTGAATGCATCTCTTCATAAAGAAAGAGCCTAGGCCCAGGTATAAAGGTAGAGAAAGGGAAAAATGTAAGGAAAGTGGAAGAGAGTGATGATCTCCTGTGATCCTCAATCCTGTATCTGAAGCATTGTGAAGAACCTGGCAGAGCTTATGGGTCAGACACAGCGAACTGGCTGAAGGAGCCATCCTTCTTGCTTCCGGTTATGAGCTATTCAAGGCGCTGCTGCGCGCTGGGCGGGGCATGCAAATGAGGAGGTGGCCGCGTCTCCCAGGAACTCTGGGAGCGAAACGAGCAACAAAAATATCCTCGGCCCACGCTGGATCTCGCAGGCTTTCCCTGGAGCGAAGGTCGTGGTCAGGAAAGAGCAGGAGAGTCGGTGTCGGGCGCGTGGCTGTGGTTGCGTGGGTGTTTGCGACCGTGATGTCAAGGTGTGTGCGCACGTGAGTGTCGCGGGCGGTTGTGTGGGGAGGGTTATCGCTTCTCGGCCTTTTGGCTAAGATCAAGTGTAGTATCTGTTCTTATCAGTTTAATATCTGATACGTCCTCTATCCGAGGACAATATATTAAATGGATTTTTGGAACTAGGAGTTGGAATAGGAGCTTGCTCCGTCCACTCCACGCATCGACCTGGTATTGCAGTACCTCCAGGAACGGTGCACCCCCTCGGGGGGGTCTCTAACGCTGGTTTCAAAGTAAGATTTAACTGGTCTTTTGTTTTGGAGTTTAGTTTCCATTTACTCAGCAGTGCTTTTAACTTCTAAACGTAGCGTCTGTTTTCTGTAGTGTTTGGAGTACGCCTTCTCCGTATTTGGCTTTTGGTGTTTAGTAGTTTTATCGTTATAATTTTACTTTTTATTTTTTTGTATTTCCGGACAAGGTTTCTTTGTGTAGCCTTTCCTGCATCTCGCTCCGTAGCCCAGGCTGCCCTAGAATTCGCTGCGGTCCGCTGTCCTCTGCCTCCCGAGTGCTGGGATTAAAGGCCTGCACCACCACCGCCCGGCATAGTTTTATTTTTCAAGACTGTTTTTCTGTTGGTCTGCGACACTTGCACACCTGCTGGATGATCTGCTTGTGAGCATTTTTTCCTCTCTGTACTGGGGACCTCAGTTGTCTTGTTTTCATAACAATTTTAAACTGGCCTGCAACTTTGATAGGCTGCTTTGTAATTTCAGGGTTGTAACTTTTTTACAAGCTGGTTCAAAAATCACGGTTGAGGGCTGTAGAGATGTGCCTCAGTGGTTAAAACCACTGGTTGTTCTAGAGGTCCTAAATCCAATTTCCCAGCACCCACGTGGTGGCTCACAGCCATCTATAATGAAATCCGGTGCCCTTTTCTGTGATGGAGAAATACATGCAAGTAGAGCATTCATATTCTTAAAATACATAAACATTTTAAAAAGTCAGACTTGTCTTTTTCTTACTTGTTCTTTTGTTATTTTTGTCATAGAGTTGGTAATGACCCATCTCATCTCCACATTTCCTGTGGTTTTCTTTAGATTGTACTCTGTGCTGTAGGGTCCGAGTTGCATTTCTGGAGCACCTACCCACCATTTGTAGTACTGACATAGGATAACCGCTTCTTGGTTTTAGTTGTGGGAGTTCTGATTACACAGACAAGCAATAACTAGACAGGTACCCAGGAAATGATTTAAATCCGTCTGTTCAACCAGGCAATGGTGGCACACGCGGAGGAATCCTGTCTTGAAAAAACAAACCAACAAACCCACCACAATATAGAAATTAGAATTTATGCTCAGATGTTAGTTTAAATTTCATTTTCTCTTGTTTTTTCAAGATAGGGTTTCCTCTCTAGCAACCCTGCTGCTTCTGCCTCTTGAGTGCTGGGATTAAAGGCATGCACCACTGTGCTTGACTCTGTCAATTTAAATTTCCTTTTCCTCACAAAAAAAGAAGAAACATGAAGCGAGCATATTTCTACATTTTCCAGCCCTAACTTGAAGCCCTACAAATACTGTCAAAAAGAAAATTTAGGAATCAAAGGGAGCCAAATCATGTTCACTTCGTAGAAAAATTAAATAGTGACAGATTTCTCCACCAGGAGGCAGCATCTGCTAATTTCCAGCCCTAGGCTCTAGTATAAAGTTTAATGGTTTGGGGATGATGGTTCCCGTTTGGGAAAAACAGCCTTTTCAATACATACCTTGCTCCAGCACCCATTATGAGAGACAAGTTGGGTGTTTTTGTGTATGATTGTTCTTTCTCCTTCTCTCAAGTTCTGTCTCTCTGAAACAGGGTCTTACTGTGTGTCCCAGGCTGAGTCCTAGGATGAGGCTGGTCTGAAAATCAAGACAATCTTCTTTGGGCTGCCCAAGTGTTGGTCTTAAAGGCATGGGTGTGTTGGTCTTAAAGGCATGGGCAGCCCCACACGGATGTTTCTCCATTTTGTGTATCAAATTAAAGAACTGGGATTTGAAGTGGTGGTGGAGTTGGTGGTGGAGGCGGATGGGAAGAGTCTTGGTGAGTCCCTAGCGGATAGCTGCTCCTCACTCACTCTCTGCAGCTCCTCCAGACCCCTCTCTTCATCTGCTCATTCAAACATGTTCTTGGTTAAGATGCTGTGGGGGCAGCAGTGGTGCCACACTCTGCAAGCTCATATTCGGGGGCAGAGGCAGGAGGGCCTCAAGTCAGCTGGGCGCAGAGTGAGACCCTGTCTCAAAAAACACGCCTCAGCTGAGATGTGTTCAGTCACTTCCAGGGTGACCTCCACCGGTCCTCTCGAGCTCCCTTACTCCAGAGCAAGGCCTACTGTGAGGAAGAGAGCCTGTAATCACCGAAATCTCTCATTACATACTGGGTGTGTGTGTGTGTGTGTGTGTGTGTGTGTGTGTGTGTGTGTGTGTGTGACAGTTCCAGGGAGAAGTTGCTTCTTCAATCCTGTGTATTAGCGAGGGACTGGATGCATACTTACTCTGAAGTCCAAGGTTTTAGCGTGTCAGGGTTGGGGATATTAAGGATGTATAAGGTTTTATCCCATTACCGACCTCTATTTTTCTCCCCCCAAAATCCATATATGGTAATAGAGGGCTGGCTTAACAGTTAGGAGCACTGGCTGCCCTTCAAGAGGATTCAGGTTTGATTCCCAGCAACCCCATGGTGGCTCACAACCTTCCGCAACTCCAATTCCAGGACTCAGTTACTGTCTTCTGGCCTCTGTGGGCAACCAGGAACACACATGGTGCACACACATACATGCAGATGAAACACTCATACACATACAATAAAAACAAATCTTAAAAAGTCTACCTGTATGAAATTGTCAAAGAATAAGAGATTAAAAAAATCTCTCCCAGTATTTTATTTATTTATTTATTAGAAAGATCTGTTTATTTTATGCATTTGAGTGTTTTGTCTGAAGGTATGTCTGTGCATCTTGGGTGTGCCTGGTGCCCAAGGAGATTCAGAAGAGGGCATCAGATTCTCTGGAACTGGAGTTACGGATGGCTGGGAGCCACCATGTGCGTGCTGGGAACTGAGCATGGTCCTTTGTAAGAACATCAGGTGCTCTTTACCAGTGAGCCAGCTCTCCAGCCCTGCTTACTTTCTTTCTTTCTTTTTTTTTCAAATTGGCAGAATGTTGTTTCCTGTGGAAATCTACACGTCTACAGCATATGATCCTAGCAGAAGATGTCAAAGCCATGCTCACTGAACTTCGCAAAGAGATCAACCTACTCTTGTTAACAAAGGGACACTGAGGGAGAAGGTAGAGGCTTGTGCCTGCCAGTCATTTGACTTGGATGCTGTTGTCGGAGGAGAGCAGAAAGAGGAGAAACCAGCACCTTCGGAGGAGAGCAGAAAGAGGAGAAACCAGCACCTTCCATATTTTATCACTGCTGAGATCTCCTTGGAGTGCAGCTGGGAGACTGTGATGGTTGGTGACACACTAGAAACCGAAATACAAGGAGGCTGCGATGCAGGACTGAACGCCGCCTGACGTCATCCCCATGCCTCACTATATGGTTTCCTCTGTGCTGGAATTACCTGCTCTCTTACAAAGCATAGATTCCAACCTGCTTACTTTCTTTTGTATTTTATTTATCTGTGTGGATTGATGTGTGAGTGTGTGTTGAGCAGTGTGCCTGTGGAGGCCAGAAGTGTGAGTGTGTGTTGAGCAGTGTGCCTGTGGAGGCCAGAAGTGTGAGTGTGTGTTCAGTGGTATGCCTGTGGAGGCCAGAAGTGTGAGTGTGTGTTCAGCAGTGTGCCTGTGGAGGCCAGAAGTATGAGTGTGTGTTCAGCAGTGTGCCTGTGGAGGCCAGAAGTGTGAGTGTGTGTTCAGCAGTGTGCCTGTGGAGGCCAGACGACAACGGTGTGGAGTCTGTTCTCTCCTTCCTTTATGTGTGTTCTAGGGATTGAACTCAGGTTGTCAGGCCTGTGGGGCCAGGGCCTTTGCTGGCTAAGCCATGTTGCTGACTCCTTCCCAATATTTTAGGCAGGATCTCATGTAGCCCAGGCAGGCCTCAACCCTAGTTTGTAGCTAAAGAGAACTTTGAACTTCTGATCCTTTGAAATGCAGAGTTTCAAGTCCAGTCTTGGTCAGCCATTACGAGCAGAAACCCTGAGGGCTCAAGGACCCCAGCCTGGTAACCTCATACACTAAGGGTAAGGCTCGGTCATAGGGACTCTCCTCGGTGTATTTAATCATTCCATCTTGCAGAATTTCTGGCTTGGAGGATGCCCCACACAGTGTGTGTCAATGTAGCAGCAGATAAGAAGAGCAAGCGTCCGTCCTCCAGGGTTCAAAGTGCTGACCAAACAGCTGGACTCTGATCCAGGTGGGAAGCCCAAAAAGGAAGCAGTAACTCCCAGCTCATCTGTCCTACTGCCCGGGACACCTCTCTAACTCCAGTCACTTAAATATTGTTTCAAAAGCCCCTCCTTTAGAAGGTCCCACTGAGCAATACCATCACCCTCAAACAAAAACAAACAACCCATCAAAAATGGAAAAAACTCCTTCCTGTCTCCCTCCCAGGCCTCACCTCCTCCTTCCCATTTGTCCGTCCACACCTTCCCTGCAAACAGGAAAGATAAAGGGTGAAGTGGGGAGTCAGTTTCATTTTCCTTATCGAATCTGTGACTGTTCCCATCTTGGGTGTGAATCCCATGGCGGAGAGGTGTTAAAAAGATGTCCGACAACTTGTGTATTTTCAGTTTCACAGTCATTAAGGCCTTTGTTCAAAGCTACAATTGTTTGTACAATTCCTGGGGAGGTGAGTGACCTTGGATAAGTCATGTAGCCCTTTTATGCTTCAGGGTTTTTTTTATAGACAAAACATACCCCAATCCTGGTGTGTGTGTGTGTGTGTGTGTGTGTGTGTGTGTGTGTGTGTGTGTGTGTATTTATGCTGGTAATTAAATTTAAAGTCTCAGGTACTTGACAATATCTCACTGCCTAACTCCACTGTCTCTCCGGCTTTAAAGTCTCCCTCCTCTCTCCCTCCTCTCTCTCCTCTCTCCCTCTTCCCTTCCCTCTCATTATGTTATTAGTGTGTTGTCTGTCTGCTTTTGAGACAGGGTCTTCTGTAGCCCAGGGTGATCTCAGATTTGCTGTGTAGCAGAGGATGGCCTTAAGCAATGGATCCTCCTGCCTCCGTCTCTCAAGTGCAGAGATTAGAGGTGTGGATCACCGTACCCGACTTTCTATTTTTATGTTTTGAAAGAAACTTGGCTCTGTAGCACTGGCTGTCCTGAAAGTCGGCAGGTGGACTAGGCTGGTCTGGAACTTGTTGCCCCCCAGTACTGGGATCACAGGGCTGTACCCCTGTGCCTGATTCAACTATGACTTTTCAAAAAGAAAATCGCGTTAAGCTCTTAGACATGCAGTGCCCCTGTGTAGGGTGGCGCTCCCTGTGCCCTCGGCCTATCCCGTGGTTCTCCTCTCCCAGCTTCAACATGCTCATCTCTGCCTCTGGGCCTCAGCTACTGCTGCAGTCTGTCCCATCATCCCCATTTGGGGGAGGTAAAAAAGTTATTTTCTGAGGTTTTGGTCCTAGACTAATTTCTGAAGATCTCTAGGGGTTTGGAGGCTCCCTGAACTGCCAGGCAAGCCAGGTGGCTAGTTTTGTGGTAGGGAGGGGACAGAGAGGTGGCAAGCTTGGCATGCTGTTGTTAAACATGTGGAAGCTTTTTATCAGCACTTGCTGGAGGTGGCCGGGCAGGAAAGGGCTGGACCCTTGAGTCCGGCACTAACCCCCCTCCCCCGCTTTCCAATCCTCTTTACACTTCAGCTTTTAAGAAGGGTAATCCTGTTCTCCTTTTGGTCACGTTGCCCTTTGTGACATCTCCTCCCCTTCAGGGCAACCAGAACTTGCAGCTGCTAAGGATGATGCCCCCACCCAAGTCCTGCATCTCTAGAAACCTTTCCAGAAGCTTCTAGCTGACAAGGTCTTTACCTCCTCTGTAATCCCACAGGTCCCTGTTTGATGATCTGTAAAAACTCAATATGTGTGTTTTCCTGAACTGCCACTGCCTGTCACTCACTATGGAGTAGGACTTCGAGGCATCTGTAGTCCTAGAACCCTAGCTCATGCAGAGGCTCAGTGTGATGTCAACCAGAGCTTTATTTTTTTCTTTACTAACTTACCGACATACTGGGGATAGAATCCCGAGTCTGTGCAGGTCAGGCAAATGCTCTGCCACTGCACCAGTTGCCTGGTTCATCTGTATTTTTGAAATAGGTTCATGTTAATGTGCCCAGGCTGGGCTTGAACTCACTATACAGCTGGAGAAGTTCTGAATGTACCATCCTCCTGCCTCAGTCTCCAGAGTACCTGGGATATGGTGGTTATGCCCAGATGAACTTTGTCCTTTTTTTTTGGCTTTTTGAGACAAGGTTTTTCTGTGTAGCCTTGGCTGTCCTGGAACTCTGTAGACCATGCAGGCTTTGAACAAAGAGATTCCCCTGCCTCTGTATGGAGTGCTGGGACTAGGTGTGTGCCACTATACCCAGCCTTTAAAAGTCTGTTTTAACAAGCTAGGCCCTTGGAGTTCTGCTGTTGGTCTGGGAAGCTTTGATGGGGGAATCTCCACTAGGGCTGCCTAGCCCCATAGTTTGCTGATGAGATGTCTAGACAGGTGCTGGGTGTCCATCACTGAATTCAGACAGATTTTGCTCAGCCATGTACTACCTACATGTGACTGTAGACAAGTCCTTTAACCCTTTGGAGCTTTCTGTACCTGTAAGATGCATACAACAGTCCCTCACCAGCTATTGTGAGAATCAGTAGAGGTAAGGGGGCCAGTAATCCCAGCACTCAGGAGGCTGAGGCACAGAGATTGCCAGTGGGCCCAGGCCAGCCTGGACTACACGGTGAGATACCATCTCAAAACAAAACAAAAAAAACCCAACCCAAACCCCAAAACACACACAACAGAGCAGTTGGGTATGATGCCCGATGCCTTTCAGCATTCCAAGGCAGAGGCAGGTAGATCTTTGAGTTTGAGGCCAGCCTGGTCTACATAGTAAGTTCAAGGATATCTAGGGATATATAGAAAGATCCTATCTGAAAACAAAACCAAACCCAACCAAACAACCCCCCCCCCCAAATGGTTGAAGTGGTGGCCCAGTGGTTAAGGGCACTTACTATTCTTCCAGAGGACCCAGGTTCAGTTCCCAGCACCCATGTCAGGCACTCACCACTGTCTATAGTTCTCGTTCCTGGGGATCCAACACCTTCTGAACACACGTGGCATATATCGACACACACATAAACACATAAACAACAATAAAAATATCAGGTAGAGCAGGGCAGTGATTGCGAACACCTTTAATCCCAGCACTTGGGAGGCAGAGGCAGGCAGATATCTGTGAGTTCGAGGACAGCCTAGTCTACAGCGCCAAGTACCAGAACAGCCAGGGCTACATAGAGAAACCCTGTCTCCAAAAACCAAAACCAAGAAAAAAAAAAAAAAAGTACTTGGGAGGTAGAAGTAGGAGGCTCAGGAGTTCAAGGTCTTCCTTGCTACAAAATAAGTTCAGAGCCAATGGGCTACGTGAGACCCTGCCTCTGTAACGGGCGTAGTACTATGAATCAGCTGTGTGCGGGTTCCAGGGAAACACTGTGTTGAAAACTGGACGCAGAATGCTAGAAGACGACTGAATGAGGAAAGATTCCAAACTTGTCAGCATCTCTCGGAGCAGACCCTTAGGTAGAAGGAGAAGACTGGTGGGGTCAGCAGCTCTGTCTGCGGGAAAGGGTGGTGTCAGTGGTAAGACGTTCCTCTCCCTGCTCTCGTCAGACGCGGCCACGCCTGTTCCTTCGGTCCTTCCCACCTATCAGCCCTGATGAATTCCAGGCTCTCTTCCAAATACTGGAATAAGGTAGAAAAAGATTAAATAAAGCGGTTCCGGGAGAGAGCGAGCGTCCCTCCCCAGGATGGGGCTGCAGAGCCAGGCTCGCTCCGTGCCAGGCTCCGCCTGGGGGACGCTGATTGGTCCGCGTCGTGTGACGTCACGAGAGGGTTTTTAATGCTCAACCTGACCGGCGGCGCCGCCAGGTCCGCTGTGGATGGAACGTGGCGTGCGGGGCTCCGGTCGGCGTCGCTGGCGGGGAGTGCGGCGGACTGAAGGTAAACGGGGGTGTCCGGGCGGTGCAGGGCCTCCGGCTTCCGGGGTTTGGGGGAGCCGGTGGCGGCAACGGGAGGAAGGCAGGCAGGACAGTCGCAGGACCGTGGGGATGGCGCTCACAGCCCCCGAGGGCGTGTCGGCGGTGTGGGTTTGCGGAGGGCGTGTAGGAGCCGGACAGGATCGGGGCTCGCTCTTCGGGCACACTGCCCGACCGCCTCCCTCCTGCGAGGATTCTCCGCCCGGGAACGGAGGTCATAGCGTCTGCTTCCACTCCTCAAGCTGGGAGAGGCGCGGCAAAACGACCTTCCGCGGCATCTAGCCCGCAGGATCCCGCACCTTCGAGGATCATAGCCCCCGAGGGGTTCTCTGGCCTGGGGCCTCTCCTAGGGCCCCTTGGGCAGGAGGACGCCTGCGTTACACCTGTAGCTCCCCCTTTTTTTTTTTTTTGGT